GGAATAAGAGGGTGTATTGTTCGCGTTTTGTTTTGGCAATATAGAAACAAATAAAGGAGAGATCTCGACAAAATCGTCAAAGACAAAACACGATAACTTCTGTACTAATCTGTAGGCATGATGCCAGGTCAACCTATGTGCATCACTAGGCAGATACGAACGGGTAAAGAAACGGAGAAAGAAGCGTAATTATGTCGGCCACATTCTGCCCGTGCGGATAACGCGGCGAAACGCGGACTGCAAAAGCCAACGACATATTCATGTGTGCGTTATTATGCGAGGGTGCCGGGAGTGCACTTGAGAGATGCGCGCACGCGTTGCAGGACGTTCAATTAACCGCATGCATTTGACAACCAAGAAATTGCCGCTCGTGTATAGCTCGCTTAAGATGTGGCCGAAAATTCTTCAATTTTCAATTATTTATTTTAGACTAAAAGCTTTATACTTTAAAACGGAAAATAGCACGGAAATATTTCTTGATAATAAGTCTTATATCATTTTCATAAAAATATTTTATCAATCATAAAAGACAGAACCGTAATATCTAGTGAAATCACGTATATATGCAAATTACTTTGTAATTGAGTTTATTGAGCAATTTTTACGATGAATATTAGTTGAATTAAAAATCTGTTAGAATTTTATATAACATAAGTATAATAATTAAATAAATTTATCGAATTGAAGAATACTAATATATTAGACTCATTAAATATCTATTTCAAAAATAATGAACATTTGATTTTAAAAATATTGGAGGATTAATCTAATTGATACATATTTTAATCAAATTTGTTCTGTTCGTAAACATACAATACAGGCTATGATTTTATTATAAAAAATAATGATATTATCTCATCTATTAAAGACCGTTCCTTTGGCAACGATACCATGCAGATTTATAATTAAAGTATCGAGAGTAACAAAGAGTGATTTATCCCACTTTAAAAAAAAGATCATCTAAATTTCTATTTTTAAATACAAATAATAACCGCTGCCCTTTAATCCTCCATTCGTGCTCTTAATATAAAGTAGATTTAATCCTAATGAAGCTCACGTGAGAATAAAATACACATAGACACGCACATATTTAAGAAACCTGTTGCGATGAGAGATAGTATCGTCTCGAATGGAACTTTCATCAAGGGAAAGTCGACGCGCGCGAAAGTCGCTGATGAAGTTTTAGACAAGATGAAGTATATCTTAAACACACACATTGAAATATATGTACCATGTACCAAGAATATAATTGACGGATACTGGACAAGGGAGGGAGGGGGCTTGGAGGGCGGATAGAAACGAACATCCCTCGGACCAGAGATCGCGCTGTCGATCGCGTTTTTTGTCTCTCGTCTCTCTTGTCGATAGATCTCGACAACGGCGATAGCGACGTGTTTACACGGCATTGAGCTCGCCCTCTGCTCCACAGGAGCAGATCCCTCTTC